GAACGGGAGGACCAGGAGGAGGAGGAGGAAGGAGCCCTCAGGCACTCCCCCGCTGGCGTCCAAGCTTGGGCTTCATTAGGAGGATGATTATTTATTGCTCCCCCTGCCAACAATAATAAGACGGCTGTGTTTGTTCCACCTGCCCGTCGCCCTGAAGTAGGACTTGGCGAGGATATCCTCTCCGGTGCTTCCCCCCCCCCCCCCCGCGCACGCAAAACACACCGGTAAGTAGCCACCGCGTTTCTTGTGATAGATATACACTTATGTGTGTGTGTGTATATATATATATATTGCTCCTGACAAAAAGGATCTTGTGCTAGAAGAGTTGAGGCGAGGGAGAAGGGGAATCTATCTATCTATCTATCTATCTATCTATCTATCTATCTATCTATCTATCTATCTATCTATCTATCTATCTATCTATCTATCTATCTATCTATCTATGAATGACACCGTCAGGCACAGCTCTTTGGAGAGCCTTGTCAGAAGGCATCGCTAGGGACAGAAGGATGCGCTCCTGCTCTCGAACCTGGGTTTCTGGAGGACTTTACCACCATACTGGTGGGTTAGTAGTTAGGGGTGCTGAAGGGGTAGATCCTTCGTGGTGTCCTTCCTTCTCTCCCCCACCTCTTCTCCTATTTAGTGTACTAAATCTTTGGTCTCTCTCTCTCTCCCCCACCCACCCACTCTGCTTGAATCACTTCCATCCATTGAAATAGCTTGGTGAGGTGGCATCGAGATTTCTCTCCCCCCCCAAGGGGGGAAGTGTGGAGGGGAGCTATCAGTTAAATATGTAAATGATGATGGAGATAGGTGAGATGGACTGGGAATGATGGGAGTGATCCCCCAAAGGGAGGGAAATCAGTTAAATATGTAAATGATGATGGAGAGAGGTGAGGTGGACTGGGAATGATGGGAGTGATCCCCCCAAAGGGACGGAGGAGAGACCATCACTCACCCCCCCATTAGATTTCCTTCTGCCAGTTTTGGAAAAAAGGGAAGCAGTGAGGATTCTAAGCAAGCTTTCTGCCCCCCCCCCCCCGCGCTTTGCTTCTTGTTTTCTTGACACTGCTAGCTTTGAGTTATGCCAGTGAGATTCTCAGCTCTTTTTCTGCAAGTTGCTAAAAAAGCCCCCCCACCCTAGACTGCCTATCTTGGAGATGAAGGAGCCATGGGAAGAGGAAACTTAAAGGAAGGTTTCCAACGTACATAGGGCACTCTGCCTCTCGCTCTCCTGCCTACCTCTGCTCTCTTGTTAATGGCATCTTTTGCCAAGCAAGAGAAAGAGGATTTGGTTGTTGACCCCCTAGAGCCAGATTCTCCTGTGTGTGTGCTGTTCAGGCTCTCCTTCTCTCCCCCCCCCCCCGCCC